CTATTCACAAAACCAGTAAATATCTTAATTCTAAAAATTACTTTAAACAATAAACACTAGCAGAATTTTATCCTATACTATTTGCAGTATTTTAACAATTACTGCAACAGCTTTATAATATTTAGATACAACAGTATTAAAAAAATTAACCTCGCATATACAAAAAATTAAGCTACACATGTTCATTACAATAATTTAAAGCTACTGTATTCAGACCGATAGTCTTTTTAGTCTGTCCGGCCCATAAAAGACTAGATTTTTCCAGTTCTAAGAATGACTACAGGAGCAGCGATTTTAGTCAGAACTAATTAATAGTTCTAATTCCCTTATGTTTTTTCATATATATTTCTTAATTTAGACATTTCGACATTATTTAGACATTTTGACATTATTTAGATATTTCGGCATAATTTAGAATTTCAGCAATATTTTGGCAGACTAAATATCAAATATCAAAATATTTCTACAAGTATAAAACAATTTTGGCTAACAACATTACTCTTGAAAACACCAATTATCCAACTATATATTTCTTTGGGCAAATTGTGACTTGAATCTATCAGAGATAACTCGTCTTTGTTTAACTTTAGTATCGTGTAAGATTAATTTTTTGACAATATTGATATCTTCAAAAAATGATTATTTGATTTCTGCCAATAGATTTTCAGAGCATAATAAAGTCTTCAAGAGAGAAAAGGTATGTGTACATTACACAGATGGATTAATCCACCTAGTATTGACATGTATTATAGTTTGCCTATACAGATAGACTGGAATGTGTTAGTGAAAAAAATTGATAGTTTTTATGGACGCGTGTATATTGATCTAAGGAGAAATATATTTATAATTGAAATGATAAAAGCAGTGCATGCATCAGTGATTACAGTTATTTTAACTTACTCAACAGAGGTAACATCATTAATCATCCAATAAATGTTGCAGGCGCTTTAGGTAAAAAAATTCCTTCAGGTTGTTTAGGCTTGTTATCAGTTTTATAATCTTCTCATGTCTATAATAGCTCACTATTGACACATTAAGAGGAAAACCATTAGCACCTGATATTACTTTCTGTCCAAGTTTGATTATAATTCAAACTCTCCAATTCCAGCACCACTTTTATAACGTAAACTATGATTTGCCCTTCAAGGATTTTCAGTTGACAAATCAGTTTGTTCTAAAATATTAAAAAAAATTTTTATTGATTTTTTCTTAGACTTATCATAAAGTAACTATATAGATGCATGAATAATGTGCAAAATTGCAGTATTTCAATGTTTTAATAATTGGAATAAAAAGTGTAGGTGTTGATATTACAGCAATACGTAAGATGTGTATTTGGAGTTAAAATTTACTCATTAAGAGCAATACAAAATACAAACTGACAATTGGATCAGTGTATTATGGTGCATGTTACATGGCCTCTTTATCTGAAAAAAGGGTAAGGATACTGAGAGGTCTGTTGCTCATTCTGTCAACTCAGAAACAAGAGGATCACCATTGTAAACAATTCAAAGCACTTAAAGATATTTTGAAGGTATTTTAAAAATATCATTATTATATTTATTTATTTCATTAATATATAATTCAAAAAATTTTTTTTATTTTATCATAATTCTAGATAATTATTATAGATCAAAATAAGAAAAATTTTTTTTAAAGAATATGATAAAATTAAATCTATTAATTGTTTTTAATCTTTTTAGTTCTAATCTTAGGCCAGATACTGGACATGTCAGGAAACACCAATACTAGGAGGTGAGATTAGCACGCCATTGATGTTCTTGCGATGAATTTTAAATGTAAGGTTGTTAACAGTTTGATCAATTTTGGTTCAAGTCTAGTCTGGTCTATTATGGTTTTTTGTTTTAAGAGTTTGCTAGTCTAGACCGGTCCAGACTGATCCAATCTTAAGACTTAGAGCAGACCAATTTTTTTTAGGTCCAGACCAGTCTTAAGACTAACTGTGGTCTATTAGTTTAAGACCAAACCACATAACATCCCTATTTAAATAGAAATTTTCTAATTATAATATAACTCTACCAAATTTATTATAGTAGAATTTGGTACACCTAATTATTACACTGGTTCTTCTACTGCTTGCACAGAATCAGATCCTATTAATTATCAAGTTAATATCCCAATACAAAACGTATTTTGTGTTTTTGGGGGATCTGATCAACTCACCGACAATCACTTCGTAGACACCACATTTCATCGACAATTAGTTACCGATAAGTTCATTTTACCAACAGTTTATTTCACCGAAGTTCATTTTACAAAAAAGTAATTCTGGTTAATATCACTAAGGTTAGGTTAGAATTAGAGTAAATCTTAGTGTAATTTATAAAAAAAAACTTTAAATAGACTGTCGGTAAAATGAACTTGTTGGTGAATAATTGTTGGTGAAATGTGGTGTTTATGAAATAATTGTCGGTGAAATAATACGGACCCGTATTTTTGTTAAAAGAACTCCTTCCACAGTTGGATATGTTATCACGGTTTCTGATGATGTTACTGCTCCTAATTTAACATTAGATAGCACTCTTATATTTTGTAATACACCTAAGAAGCTTTATTTTTGGTAATTTTTTACTGTATATACGTATGATTATTATGCATGATCCAAATTTTTTAATATATGCTATATTTTGTGTATCAAAAAAAGTACTATAATAATAGTATTCTTGCGAGGTGTATCTGCTAATGTTTTTTCCTCCTCCTGATCAACGAAATGACCTTTCGAGAAGCTTTAGACTCTAACTACATATAGATATGCAGTAATTGACAAGTACAGAGTTAGCATATACTGTTTTAGTAGTATTAGATCCTTACTTCTTTTTTTTTATTGAATGTGAATTATTCCTATAATTACAATTAATATTATAAATTTTGTATATATTGGTTATTTAGTACTCTATTCACTTTATTTGAAAATCTGAGTATGTTGAAAATAGATAAATAATTTAATAATTTTAAATTCAGTTGAATAAATCACTTAGTCTTACCAGAAATACCCCTAGACTAAGTGTGTTCTCAAGCGCCTTAGTCAATCGGTCAGGAGTAGATTTTAATTAGGTAAAAAAAAAAAATAGATTAACGAATTGATAGTGTTCATAATACAAATGAATAAAATATGATAGTTTAATACTTCAGAGAGAAAATTAAATTGGTGGGAAATTATTTAACCAATAGAGTATTTATCATTCCATTTAACATAAAATGAAGGCCCAGATATCCTTTTTTTCCATAGAGTTGTGCTTATTGGTTGAAATTTTTTATTGATTACCTGAAAAAATAATTGTTCATTACCATTATAGGTTTTCAAAATCGTAGTAAATTCTGAAAGAGAAGAAACAGAATTTGGAAATGTTTTAGATTATGCTTTATCTTTTCGTTTGATCTATTATTATTATTTTTTTTTCGATTCACAAAAACAATTATCGTTGCCGTATTTGCGCGAAATAACGCCATTTCAGACATGAGTTTGAAGCAATCTAATAATCAATCTAGACAAATGCAAATAATAATTTTTTTATTATTATTAAAAGTCATCAGCTAAATTAATTATTAGCTCGCTTCAAACTCGTGTTCTGGAATAAAGCTTATGGGCATTATTTCGCGCAAATATGGTAAGTGGTAATAAAAGTGATAAAAGTGTTTGTTCAAGCATCAATTGCAACAATTTTCAATTCATCGTAACATTTGAGTGTCAACATGATCATAAATATCACATCGAAGAAGATTCGTGAGAACGCTTCAATTATATTATTATTTATTTTATTGGTTTTCGGAAATGGCCTTATTAAATATCGCTATAATAAATGAGAACCATCATAATCACTAGTTAATCACATCGAACGTGCTGCTTAGAACACTCCAAGTATATGATTTTTTTATCAACTATAATTGCTGATGCTATGCAATTAAATTTAGTTAGGTATCATATTTCGTTTGCTAGGTTATTTCAAGAATTGAAGGCGTTCTCAAGCGCCAATTAATAGGTCAAAGTATGTTGAAAATGTGTCAGAATTTAAATTTAAATTATTAATGGAAGGTATTTTTAATTGATCAATTGAGCTTGTCATTAAGATAAGTAAGGTAGTTATTACGTGAAAGAAAAATTTTAAATAATAAAAAATGATTAGTGAGTTTACCATTTCAATCAAAAATACTTTGCCCGGACCACCTTTTTTTTTTGTGCTGACTTATTAAAACTTTATAAATATTAAAGTAAATAAAGTATGCTCAAGTGTTTTACTTTTTATTATAGATTTTCATTATCGACATTCATTTTTTGTATATGTGTCATAGTCATTGCTAAATCCAATAAATGATAAATAATCAACTTGAACCCCAAAAATTAGTTTTTCCTTGGTGTCATTTATTAGCGTTAGAATAATATTTCTACCCAATCTGATTGTAAGGTAAAAGTGTAACATACAAATCTGAATTGAAAAAAAAATAAAATAAAATAAAGACGAAAAAAAAAAAAAAATCGAAAGATTTATAAATTTTACTAGAGAAACTTGGTCACTTCTATTAATTAAGAGTTCTCAGCACAAAATTTAGATATATTGTTTTATTTTAAATTAACGCATAATGTTTAGACAATAACGTTGTTGTGGGGACCATCAATTTTTTGCATCATGACTATGGTATTCTGTTTATTATTACATAAATACAACTTATAGACTCCATTCTATCGTGCTGTAAAAAATCAGTGATATATTCATATTTAGGAGTGTTGAATGTTTTTAAGTGATAAATTTAACTATCAGAATAGTATTAACTTATCACGAGAACAAGCCACAATTCATATTATATATAAACAATCGTACTTTAACATTCAATACGTTAGGCCCTGTTCACGTTGTTATTAGGGGTTCTTGTTTCACTGACAATCACTTCAAAGACACTACAGTTTACCGAATCCATTTTACCAACAAGCTTTTTTTACAGATGATTAATTCACCAACATTTAATTTACCGACATGCTTGTTTTACCGACAAGTTACTTTTCATTGACACAAAAGTTTACTGAAAATCGTATTACTAACAAGTTAAATTTACAGACAAGCTCTCTTTACCAACACTAAAATTCACCAACAATACAATAAAAAGGATAGGGCTGTATCCAATGAAAATTAAGATATCTATGTAAAAATAAAAAAAGGTTAGTCATTATCCAATGAAGAATTGAGTTATTTGTGTTAGAGAGAGAATAAAAAATCCAAGCGATACGTGGCATTATTCTAAAATAGGTTAGAAAAAAAAGGTCAGAGTCAATATCCAATAAAAAATTGAGTTATTAGCATTAGAGAGAGAATAAAAAATCTAAGCAATATGTGACACTATTCTAAAATAATAGAAATATATCCAATGAGAATTATGATATTTAAGTAAAAAAAAAAAAAAAATTAGAGTCATTATCCAACAAAAAATTGAGTTATTTGTATTAGAAAGAGAATAAAAAATTCAAGTGATACATAACATTATTCCAAAATAAGTCAGAAATATTTTTTTTTTTTTTTTTTTTGGTGTTAAGGTGACCTACATTGGCCTGGGGACTTTTTATTAGAGTATAGATAGAGTTTTATAGTGTAATTACAATGATGGTACATCAAGCCACACGTGCACTTTTTGAGTGCCTAATTTAAGTAGTCTGCCCGAAGGTTCTACACTATCTGCCGTATCTGCACCCCAACTAGGGGGGTACCTATTTAAACCATCTGGTTCTAACTACCTCTATCAGCTTTCTAACCCTGGGTGTACCTCACCATTTATGTATGGATTTCGGATATTACCTATTGTGAATTTCGCATCCTGCCTTAGGACTTACTAACTACACAGATTTTGTCAATCTCTATCATTAAGACTTACTAACCATATATGGCTAATCTATCCTCGAGGTAAACCTAACAGAGTGGTACACACCCCACACGTGTATTCACCTGCATGTTTCTATAACTTCTTTCTAATTAGTACATATTGACCTGCCATTCCGTATGTGTATCTCACGCTACTTTTTGGGGTGCTGCCGTTCTACGGACATTTCTTAAGCACCAACCTTTCTAACTAGACACCCATTATGTACTCCTTGCCCTTATTCAGTTCACAACAACCCTGATACCCGCATTTGGACCGTCTTCTTACTCGGATTCTTTACTGGTCTATCCCTTACTTCCAGCTAACAACCCGGAATAGTTGGTCTGCCCAGGCTTTAGGTGCCTGAAGGACACTCTCCCCTTGGTTTATACTTTTAGGGCGTATACCCTTTTTCTCTGGGGCGACAACCTGGTAGTTCGGCTGGTGTGTTTTCCGCCAGCAGACCTGGTTGCTCAGTTCTTTGATCTCGAGCCCCAGTTCGAATTCAGCCCTTCTATAATAATGTCAAAGATCATTGCTACCTCCAAATTTGGGACTTGCCAAATGGGTTTTTAGTTATGCCGGTTCCTCGGATTTATTGTGCCAAAGCTCCCATTTCTAGATGGTGTGACCGAAGTTACAGATTAAGTTCTAGATCCAACCAATAAGTATAGCCGTCAACCGAACACAGGCCTATTTTTCAAATATCGTTGCCAGTAGGATTTGAACTCTAGACCTGCCACTTGGAGAGAGTGACGACTAGACCACTACACTAAGTTGCCACACCTCAATAAGTCAGAAATATATTCAGCAAGAATTATGATATTCAAATAAAAATAAAAAAAATGTTAGTCATTATTTAACGAGGAATTGAGTTATTAGTATTA